TGAGGAACATTACACCGTTACACAGTTAAACGTGCATGCACATGACGAAAATCGGGCGTTAGCACGAGAAAATATGGTTTCGTCTCCAAAAACGATTGTCATATGATTTCTTCAATTACCGCGCCTGAATCAGTCCTGAAAACATCGTAAAGCTACGCTTTATAAATCACAAAGCCGCAGTAACGAGCTGACTGTATATTCGCGTATCCACTGCACTAAAATATAGAGCAACCTATAGCACGATAACATGATATATTAATGCAAACAAACTGCACGACTGGACCGCGTATATGAGCGTATCCACGTATCTGCGTATTATTTTAGTGGTCCACTAAAATATAGAGCTATACCTATAGCTTGACAATTTGATCTATTAATGACTAACTGCCACGATTGTTCTCCAAATAACGACTTGACTGCGTATCCGTGTATCCACTAAAATAGTTACCTTTACCACCATGGGATTTTAATCTATCAATTTATTTATTATTAATCTATTGAGAATAAATATAGATGTATTAATAGATCGTATCCATGTTTGAAAGGCATATATATATTATAAAATGGACGGGTATTCTGGAATCCCTCCGGAAGATATTGCCAATGTTTGTTCAGAATTATGGAATTAAAAACAATGAAACTTACAAAGAGTTACAAAAGCAAAGAAAAGAGTTACAAAAAAGAGTTACAAAAGACAAGAAAAGCAAGTGGAAATGGCGAAAAATATAACTTAATAAAATATGTCACATGTCATCACAACACAAGATATGAAGCCACAAGTTGTCCTGCTCACATTTTGGCATCTCAAGCAAGCAATACAATGTTTAGAAATGACCAACTGCGCGCGCAAAACACACTGGGAAGCGCATCTAATAAGAAGAGTATCCGCTGAATGTTTTGTTTAAGGGCGCGGGTCAATGATGCGTCCGACTATCAATGAGGAGTAGGACTGTCAACGGAAAAAAAATTGCTTCGGCGATCGCATACTATGCTGGGGAGAAGGCAAGGAAAATGGGCCCTTTAGCAGTTTTGCCCCACCACTGAAGAATCCTTAAAAAATGCACTGGGGTTTAAAGCAATTGGGTTTGGAGATTCCAGTTAAATCGTGGCTGAACATGAGCCTTTTATACTGACAATATATATGATGGTTTCGCACAGTGATACTCTCATATAACATGAAAATTGAAATGTTTTCTGCTGTTATTAATTCTGTTCTGTATTGGAAAGAGGGTAACTCTCTGCACTGTTAATCCAATTTATCAGAATCGTAGCCATAAATTTTGCGATAATATTGACTTAATAAGGGAGTGGTCATTATTTATGAGGAAGGGGGGGGGGGTATGGGGAAGGGGGGGGGGAGAGTGGTAAATGGGGAAAATAAGGATTGAAAACTTTCCCCCCCCCCCTCCAGACTGAAGGCAAACTTTTTGTGTCTCCCCTCATAAAAGTAGAAACTTTTCTGATCCCCCCGCTCCAGTGTGTATTAAAAAATTAACAGCAATGAAACAGGTGTGCGTTGCAGGTAAAGTTAGGTATCAGGACAATCTGTTTAATCTAGCTCATGATGTTTTACCCTTGTGAATATGATTCAACCATATATAATTAAAAGACCTAAAAAATATATATTATATTATGTGTTACTACTTTGCAATGCAACATTTGCCCTACCATAACCCGAACCCATGGCCCGTCTTCATACAGCGAAATGATTTAAACACAGGGATTTTTTTAAGAACTTGTCTGGGGGTGGGCTTCTACAAAAAGGGACCCGATACTATACTGAATGTGGAGGGATGACAGATGGTTGTTGGTGACAAAAAGTTTGGTGTGGTATCATATGTACTGGTAGGTGGGTCTGGGTGTATTCTCCCCCAGAAATTTTTTTGTATTTTTCCACTCCTAGGACTGAAATGTGAGCATTCTCTGAAACAGATTTTTGGATTACATTGTGCTTTGACACACCAAATCTGATCAGTTAAGTGTACTTGCATGGTATGTTTATGTAAATACCACAACTGGGTCACTCAGGGGGTAGGAAGCTTGTTAAACTTAGTGGGCCCGACTCCCACGAGGCGCAACCATGGTTGGCGCCGAGCAGGGAAATTTTGAAAATTTTGAGTCTCTAGATCGTGGAAAATGGAATTTTCAGAGTCTTCTTTTGTGATTATAGAAATCAGAACTCTAGACATGGTATTTAAGTCCAAAAACTGGTTTGACCCCCCCCCCTTTCTTTGCGTTAAAACTTTTTTGACCCCCTATTTATAAGGGTAAAACTTCGTTTGCCCCCTCCCCCCACCCCCTCCTATTTATCACCCCCCCTCCCCATAAATAATGACCACTCCCTAAAGTATACTGGAACATATTCGCATTTTCGCAAGTGTTACACATCATGAAAAATCGGAGGTTTTTGTGTTTGTGCCATGCATACTCGTGGAAGCAGAATGACATATCTACATTATACTTAAATTTTAAAGAAGCTTCTTTTCCTACTTTTTGCACAGCATACGATAGATACATTGCATTGCTCATGTTACTGCTAATTTAAATTAAAACAAGACGCCGACTCGGCGTTAACCTCGGGTCGGTGGATAGGGGATCGTCTGGTAAATATCCAAAAATTGTGTAAATCACGATAGTTTAATAGTTCACTAGTATAAATGGTGAATCAGTTAATCAAAGCTCCGTTTTAATATTGTTGACAATAATTACTGGCCCTCATCAAACCTATTGTTTTCTCTCTGCATTATATCAGCGAATGTCGAGAAGTTTTCATTTAACGTTCTACTGAAAAACGGGAGCGGCCTTTTTGGGGTACATCCTCGGGTAGAAGAATTTGCATCACAGACTACGTCATCAGTTAGTTATAGCGATTAGTTTTGAGGTTAGGGTTAGGGTAAGGGTTAGGGTAAGGGTAAGGGTTAGGGTTAGGGTAAGGATTAGGCTTAGAGATAGGGATTTGGTTATATCTGACGCCACAAACAACACAACTAGCCGATCACGTGATCACTTCTCCTCTACCCGAGGAACTACCCCCTTTTTGGTTGTATAGGGAAATTCCGGCTCAGGGGTAAATGTTTATACGCGTCATATTCTATGTACGCGTTAAAATAGCACACGACATTATTAAAAATAATGCAGCGTGCATCAGTGCACACAGACATTATTAGCAATAATGCATCTTCGTCACCCTGACATGTACACGCGATAACGTGAACATCCCAAGATGAGAAGGTGACAGTGCTAAAGGCCCCCCATACGGTGTTGTCGGGTGCCTGAAGCACTGTTGGAAACGGTCGCTGTGAGTCTTTTCAGTTCAATTTTATAGAGAAATAGTTTCGTTTGCGCTTGTGGGATTTTATCCTAGATATACGCATGTGCAGAATACACCATAAGTTCTATTCCCGTGTTTATCCAATACGCTATTTGAGTAAACCTTATCATTAATGATAATATGTAAACTAGAACACTATAATTGACCTCCGCTTGTGGAGATTTTAATTTAGGGCGATTAATTAAACTGAAATCTGTTCTATCACAATGCACTACAGTGCCTATGGTTATGTCTATATGCATGTCCTCACAAATGTCTAGTGTAACGTTGGATAGGTTCATTGTCATACGGTCCCGACAAGCAGCAACGTACAGTAGTCTTCCAGCCGAAAATAATTACTTTTGATTCGGGTCAGTAATTATAATAGATAACAAGTGAAAGTTGGCCGCGGTATTCCCATGCTATGCATACGATGTATTGTACATTATATCAACATATACTCGAGAATAGTTGTCCAGCTAAACATGTATGTCAAAATTATCACATCTTCTGGTTTTAAATCAACAATTCTGACGGATTTTGTGCAAGGACAGCTTCGGGTTCCGTTTCGCTTTGGCCGATGCTTGCCGGAAGTACACTTATTTACCGGAAGTTGTCGTCTCCTCCGCAGGCCCTTCGATCTTCGACTACGCGCGCGGCTCGACACAAAAAAAAACAAGAAAAAAAAAATAGGAGCCGAATTTAAGACCTCGGTGTCGTACCGACCCGAGGTAATAATCTACTTTTGAATGATTGAATACAGTTGAATGTGAGGCCCAATCTATCTAAGGCCCAATCTGAGGCCCAATCCGCGGCTACCTTCACAGTCGTTTTGATAGTTTCCTGTATAAAGAACGCAATCTACGTGTTTATTCCGCTTCGTGACGTATGTCATGCAACATTTCAACGCATATTTGAGGATTGGTCATTTGCATGCACGTCATGTGTTATAATAATACTAATAATTGGTATTTCTTCATTGTGGACATTCACTGTATGGGGCAACGTTATTTAAAGTAACTTGTATTACTGTAAAGGCATATTATTAATATTGTGTTGTCCGTATTCAAGGCCGTTTGCTGGACCCTCTTCAACGATACAAAGCAGAATTTTCAGGCAAGATATAAATATATTTTTTACAGAGTAAATTGGGTAATATCTAACATTTCTAACAACTGCTCTTCATAGTCATTTGGAGACTTCTCTGACTCTGGTCGTGGACTTTTATTGAATATATGAGCTTTTGACTGACAGTCTGTAGTCTTCAACAGGTGAAGCAATATTGAATTAAATTGAGCCCTAATTAGGAATGTGACTGTCATTTGAAAACTGGTATATTTAATAAAAGACCAGATAATGTCTACAAATTACTATTTGATGGGTATTGTAGATGGAAATTGTTGAATGGAAATTTATATACATTTATCAGACCTAACCAGGAACAGCTGCAAAAAATACAACTTCGGGTTTCTGGCCGGAATCGAACATGTGATTCTGGTGCAGCGCTCTAACCAATTGAACTACAGAGGCCAGTTGTCTAGCTCTAACCACAAGTTGATCTATATATACTAGAGTACTGCCATTTATAGGTTATGGGTAAAAATATTCAATTGAGATTCGAGTGAGATGCCAACAAAATTTTGATATTTACCCATAACCTACAGTATACATGGCCGTACCCTAGCCAGTTATGAGTAAATATCAAGATTTTGTTGGTATGTCTTGATATTTTCCCATAGGTTATGAGTAAATATCTTGATGTGTTATACATGTCTTGATATTTACCCACTTTCACTTGAGTGAGATCCCAATAAAATCTTGATATTTACATAACCTATACATGACAGTACCCTAGTTTATTATTAGCATGACAAAATTACTGGATGCTGATTGGTTGAGAGGAGTACAATTATTTCATTAATTGTACTGCAGTACAATTAATGATTTTCCCAAAACAAACAAAATGGCGGAAAGGTATTTTAAACACAAGCGTGAAATGAAATTGCCGTGGAGGAACTAGATGAAAATATGAACAAAAGCATCAAATTTTGCTTGAACAAAAGAACTAAATGAAAATACAAACAAAAGCACCAAATTTTGGTTGAAAGTCTGGCAGGACTGGGCTTTGGTGAGAGAATATGATGTTGACATTGAGAAGTACGTATCCAATTTTGTCATGCTAATAATAAACAAGTAATCATGCGATGTTGCTCGTACAATTAGGGATTAATAGTACTTGTGATGTTTGGAAATTTGCCAAGTTGGACTTGCCCCGGCGGCTCGTCCAATTTTGGCAAAATTTCTTAATCCCTAATTGTACTTGCCATCGCATGATTACCTATACATACATACTATTAAGGTACAACAAATCAACAAAATCCACTAGGCATCTATTACTAAATAGTTTTGCACCACTGTATGTGGCACTCTTCAGATAAATTGACCTAAAAGGTCTGGTTTTCCATTGAGCACTTTGCCAAAAGTTTTTATAACCAACAAAACCAAATGAGCGTGCGCAATGCGTAAGCGGCATGGCTCATCCTGTAGAGCGCTCAATATGACCTAAAGGCCGGTGCACACTAGAGCTATGTGCATAGCAAAATGTCATTCGTGACTGTTGGCATAAGGAGATAGCTCTTGTGTGCGGGCGATTTACGAACGACTTTTGTCATTCGTGCCACTTACGCCAAATATCTAACATGTTTGATAATTTCTGCCTCGCGTGCCAAAATCTTTCCGTGTGTGGCGAACGAAAGCTATCTGCTTACGGATTGTCGTAACAGCGCATGCGTAGTATACGAAAGTAAACATCCAAGATGGCGGCGCAAAATGAATTGCTGGCCGAGGCAATTTTAGCAATTTTAGAGGACATTTTACTTTCGTATACTACGCATGCGCTGTTACGACAATCCGTAAGCAGATAGCTTTCGTTTGCCGCACACGGAAAGATTTTGGCACGCGAGGCAGAAATTATCAAACATGTTAGATATTTGGCGTAAGTGGCACGAATGACAAAATTCGTTCGTAAATCGCCCGCACACGAGAGCTATCTCCTTACGCCAACAGTCACGAATGACATTTTGCTAAGCACATAGCTCTAGTGTGCGCCGGCCTTAAAGGCCATAGAGCGATATCTAACTACAGACGGTACCATTTCGGCCTAATGGGCCTCATCAGTGTAGTGCTGGGGCCGGTTGTATAAAACTCTTAATCACTTTTTTAATCACTATTTTGTAGTTAAATACTGATTAACTCTCAAATACGCGCTTCTTATTGGATGACGTTTGCACTTAACTATAGTTAACTTTAATCACTTTTTTATACAACCGGCCCCTGATGAGCAGGATGAAAGTAACTGCTATTTACAGTTACCTTTGATGCCTCACGATTGTGGGACATCAAAACCATGCCAGAGCGCTCAAACTATATATCAATATATATATATATATATATATATATATATATATATATATATATATATATATATATATATATATATATATATATATATATATATATATTTATAATATAGTCAGTCACCGTATATGAGCTGTTCTGCAATCTGATTGGTTGAATTACTCGCCGTATATCAGCTCATATACGGCGAGTAGCGAAAAACAAGATGGCGGTCCAAAAACTACATGAGTTTTGCGAAGCAGAAAAAGGAAAATATTCGCTTTGAGAAAGATAATAGTACAAGGAAAAACTCTCAAAAAAATTTGACAGGTTAGCAAAATACATTTATTACGTAGAAATTAGTTTAAATACAAGTTTTTTAAAGAATTAATACCGAAACAACAGCGAAAAAACATGTTCATTGAGAATATAAATTGTTCAGAAAAGTTTGCAATGAACGACAAATGAATTTGCAGTCAACAAGCACTTACTATAGTACCAAACATCTGTATAATATATCTGAGCTTTCCTGTGAGATATATAGAGGTTCTAAAACCATTTCTTTCACTTCGTCTTCGAGTTGTAAAACAAAAGAATTTCAAATTTTCAAGCGGTTTTTGGCCGAACAAATTGTCAACACATTGTAACAGTGAATAATTAATTACTGCTTCAGTTAATGGCTATATTAGACTATATTATAAAACAATTATACCATTCGCTCTCGTCGTATATGGCTGATAGCCGACTCGGTGCTACGCACCTCGTCGGCTATCAGCTCATATACGACTCGAGCTCATGGTATAATTGTTAATATATATATATATATATATATATATATATATATATATATATATATATATATATATATATATATATATATATATATATATATATATATATATATATATATATATATATATATATATATATATATATGAGTGGTTTGTATTCTTCTTCAGACATTAAAATTTTAATAAAAAGTTAAAAATATTAAAACCGTCCAAACGTTTCTCCGATTAAGGCTTCTTCAGTGGACTAATTGTTCGATATACCTGTCACTCTGTTTATATACCTAACCTGCTGAAAAGTTATCGATTAAACACAGCAGGCAGTGGCTACAATTAGCGATCGACACCCAATATCATCAACTACGTGGAATTCGCCGCTCTGTATTCCCTTTAAATTAAACCGGCAACAAAATGAACAAATACTACGCCTCGAGCACACTTTAAAGGACACCAAACAACGTAAACTTGAACAATTAATCTTTAGACAACACCCTTATAGTAACACGACTACAGAATTTAAACCTCAAGGATTCAAGAATATATAATCAGAAACTGTAGACTCAGAACTTGAAAAGTTGCTTAACAAGGGACCATCGTTTGTTAATGCGGAACCTGCTGAACTCTCTAAACGTTGTTTAATTTCAAGGGCTAGTTTGCAACTCGCGACAGACCGACTTGTTGAGGATAACGTTCCAGACAGAGCCATTAATGAGTTAAAAGGAGGGATTGCTCGCATCATCGATGATTGTGAAAAGTTCGGCAAGAAAATACTAACTAAAAAGAAATTACCATTTAAACGACCTGCGAAATCTGTTGTTATCACATCATCCGACAAAACAAAGCGTCTAATCGCATTGGACTCCGAAAGCTATGATAACATGGTTAGTAAATCTACTATAGACACAGGTAACTATAAGCCTCTGAAAAGACTTAATCTACCCAGAACAGAACAGATAAATTTTAACAAGGTCCTTAATAAAGTTGCGAACAAATATAAATCTAGTGACCCGAAGATGTATAATAATTTGAGGGCTAATATTTGCAGTGAACCCATGCCATGTCCAGTATATTGCTTACCCAAAGACCATAAAGAGGGAGATTTGAAAGGACGACCAATACACGCTGCAACAGACACGCCCGCTACCCGATTGTCTAGATACTTAGCTAAGCAGTTAAACATGTTGTTGCGTTATGTACCTGCCCACCTGAGAAATACCGCAGATTTCATTGAATTCGTTAACAATCTTGATTGAATTTTTTTCTGTGTTGGTGTTGTGTACTCAGGTGAATAATATGTTTGCGATGTTACTCTGAGTGCATAACCACACCGGGCGAGCTTGAAAAATATGCCCGGCCACGGTGGGATTCGAACCTACGACCTTTGGAATACTAGCCCAATGCTCTTCCAACTGAGCTACGCGGTCAGGACGGTTCGAGTAAGTGATATTTCGGAACAGTATCTAGTTCCTTCAATACCAATGTGTTCTTGTAATATGAATTTTTTTCTGTGTTGGTGTTGTGTACTCGGGTGAATAATATGTTTGCGATGTTACTCTGAGGTCGTAGGTTCGAATCCCACCGTGGCCGGGCATATTTTTCAAGCTCGCCCGGTGTGGATATGCACTCAGAGTAACATCGCAAACATATTATTCACCTGAGTACACAACACCAACACAGAAAAAAATTCATAGTACAAGAACACATTGGTATTGAAGGAACTAGATACTGTTCCGAAATATCACTTACTCGAACCGTCCTGACCGCGTAGCTCAGTTGGAAGAGCATTGGGCTAGTATTCCAAAGGTCGTGGTTCGAATCCCACCGTGGCCGGGCATATTTTTCAAGCTCGCCCGGTGTGGATATGCACTCAGAGTAACATCGCAAACATATTATTCACCTGAGTACACAACACCAGCACAGAAAAAAATTCATATTACAAGAACACATTGGTATTGAAGGAACTAGATACTGTTCCGAAATATCACTTACTCGAACCGTCCTGACCGCATAGCTCGGTTGGAAGAGCATTGGGCTAGTATTCCAAAGGTCGTAGGTTCGAATCCCACCGTGGCCGGGCATATATTTCAAGCTCGCCCGGTGTGGATATGCACTCAGAGTAACATCGCAAACATATAAATCTTGATTGTAGTTCTATTCATGGGTTTTGCAGTCTTGATGTATGTAATCTTTATGGGTCGATACCCCTGGATGATCTTAACGAAAACACACCTAGTGTATTTACGGTGGCCGAACGTTTCTTTTGTAAACATAAAAAACATTGTGAGCTGCGTGCTTTAGAAGATGAGGATTTCGAAACATTAATTCGTTTATGTTTGACTAGTGATAGTGTATTGATTGGCGGTGAGCGTTACAAGCAAAAATCAGGCCTCGCTATGCGTAATAACCTAGCACCATCTTTGGCGATAATCTAGGCTACATGAATGAACTTGACTCGTTAGTTGTGAGTAAAGCCGAAGGCCAGGTTATCCTCAAAAGATATATGGATGATTATTTTCCATTTTTGTTATCTGCTTGTTTATCGGCGCAGAGTTTGCTAACGACGGCCAATAGCTTAAATGACAAAATCAAATTTACTCTTGAAACACCTTGTCATAACGAACTACCCTTCTTGGATACGCTCGTTTCGTTTGACCCCGAATCCAAAGCATTTTCCACCAAGCTTTACATTAAACCTATACACAGCCAATCAATTATGCCATGGGATAGTCACGGCTGTATTTCCTCCAAACGAGCAATTTTAACTGGTGAAACCAAAAGAGCCACAGCATGCTTGACGGATTCTTGGGGTGTTGAAGAATCTCTTAGTAAAGTGAAGGAAATTTTCTTTGCTAATGGATATCCTAAAAAGTTTGTTGATAGCGTTATAAAGAATACCAAGAATAACAGACAACGCAAACAAACTGAAATCGACTCAGATAAGCTCATCTACGTAAAATTACCATACATAAATGAAGATTATAAAAGACGAGCAACATCTGTTATACGACCCTCGGGGATTGACAACGTAAAAGCTTGTTTTGTGAATGGTAAACCATTGTCTCAAGTGTTTTCAGCTCCCAAAGGACAAACGAATTGTCCCAACAAATGCGAGACCTGTAAAAGTGCTAAGAAATCTAATCAATGCTTGAAGAAGAATGTGGTATACAAAATTCATTGTTCACATTGCGGAAATTTGTATATTGGAGAAACCGGGAGGACCATTGGCTCGCGTATAAAAGAACATTTATCAATGGATAAACAAACAGTGTTTAAACATATAATGAGTCACAAGAGTAAAAAGGACAAACCAAATCAGGAAGACATTACTTGGACAATCATTCACAAGAACATTAGATACAATGATGAACGTACAATGTATTGAGGCCATCGAAATTCAAAAAAATTCAGGGGAGATAATGAATGGTTGTATTGGGAGAGTAATTAATGTATAACGTTCGCATATAACAATAGGTAAATAAGCATGTGTATAGAACCATATCTTTTACTGTTTTAGATTTGAATATTCATAGTCATAATTAATTTTAACATTTGTCAGTGATTAGGTATATAAGGAACCTGATATTACTCAAACAATTAGTCCACTGAAGAAGCCTTAATCGAAGAAACGTTTGGACGGTTTTAATATATATTTTTAACTTTTTATTAAAATTTTAATGTCTGAAGAAGAATACAAACCACTCATTATTAATACCAGACATGATACCTCAAACACCTTTATATATATATATATATATATATATATATATATATATATATATATATATATATATATATATATATATATATATATATATATATATATATATATATATATATATATATATATATATATATATATATATATATATATATATATATATATATATGTGTATATATAAAAAACTCATTAATAATTCATGAGGAAAATACAAAATAAATGAATGTTTAATCAATGTTTGTAAATCGGATAAAGATTTGTCCTGATTTACATAAACGACAGCTTTGATTTTTTCGGCTTAGATAATGTTTATTTTTTATATTACTTCGCCAATGAATTCATAAGATTGGTCGTTTTATAAACACGATAAGACATTTGCATCGGATCTTTATCTGATATACAAACTCTCGCCTTCGGCTCGAGTTTGTACGTCAGATAATGATCGGCTGCGAATGTTTTTAACTATAGTACTAAACTGTACGGAGCCTCCTTAAGTGAAATTTTCAGGCAATACTTTAACTTCCGCTTAAGTAAAAATTGACGGGTTACTTTTCACTTATATTAAAGCGAAAAATATCAATACTTTGCTGAGCACTGATTAAGAAGCTATAAAACATATTACTAAGCTCTTCTTCCACTACGTTAGACGTCATGGAAAGAAAAAGGATAATAAAACCTGTCGCTGGTTTACCGAATATTTCGAAAACGTCTGTGGACAAGATACTGATATTCACCTTGCTGAATTTAAAGCGGCACTTGATGATCAAATGGTAAGCAACGTTTTCGTGAACTTTGCATGTTTCGATAATTTTAATTATTTTATATATTATTCAGTTGATTTTTGTTAATTGAGAGGGAGAGTACCCTGGTTGTCAGAGGTTCTGTATCTTTCGCCTTATTCTCGCTCGTATTTATTTTACGCGAGGCGAAGAGAACCTCTGGTGGCACGCGATACAAATATCTCTTCCTTTGGTACAAAATTTGTACCAAGCACATGATTGGTTAGTTATAATTAGCAGTCACATGAAGTGATGTGATGTGATTGGCTAGACAAAAAAACCTGTTCATAAATCTCAGAGAACATGATGTATACAAAATACGGAAATAATACGAACGTATTAAAATGATTTACTTAGTGACTTAGTTTGTTCCGCTATAGAAAGATTGTCTGCGCTGGAGTTAAAGTCACTTGCTTTATGTCGTTCAAGATTTTAACTTTTGATAATTCTTTGACTTTAATAGTTATTAATATGATTTATTTTGCCAATATTTTCCCCTTGTCTGTTAAGGGCAACCATACTGGCTCCGTTGCAAACACGTACTAAATATTTATATATTTATATTCTTGCACTTTTCACTTTATACGTTCGCTAATACAAACGGCATTCCACAACTTTAACAATCAGTAAAGTTGCTTTTTCCTTTGCGAAAATAATCTACATGTTTCTAATGAATAATCTACATGTTTGGGCTGCTTATTTTTAATATTTTACACAAGGCTGCCAAACACTGCAAACGGTCTGAAGAGAGCTATTTTGGTAGTATGACAAACCCGGAAGTTTAAAAACGTCACAAAATATAAAAACGGTTTTGCAAGTTCTCAAACGGCAACGTCAGCATGGAAGAGAGATTTGTATCGCGTGCCACCAGAGGTTCTCTTTGCCTCGCGTAAAATAAATACGAGCGAGAATAAGGCGAAAGATACAGAACCTCTGGCAACCAGGGTAGAGGGAGAGCAGAGTGGCATTAGACGCATTTTTAAGTACCCTCGTTTTGTTAGACAACAGCCTAGCCGGCAAATAGCGGAAAAAGAAGGAGACGGATAAAGCAAAAATAAAAATAAGATGCGTTCAGGATTCCATCCATCCATTATGCACAGAAATCTGAGCTCAGTATACAGATGTAAATTTGCATGTCGAACCATGCATATACAAATTACCAAGAAAAATGTCGGTTTGCGAAAATGTTGTTATAATTATTGCGTTTCTGGCCGAATTAGTATAGTTTAATGATGTTAAAATGGTGAAATGTATCATTATTATGATATTGGACGTCTAAAATTCTTAACGATCAAAAGTTTGTTTATTGTGAATTTTGTAGCAACATTCTCCGTCCGGTATTTGTTAGCCAGGCTATTGTCAGCTAACTTCGTGAAGATTGCTTATGTTCATATATTTTTTGATTATTTGCATCGTGGAAGGCAAATATGTATGATGGTCAAAGAATGATGACTTAAAAGAAGAATATGTAGGGCTCAGAATACTACTATACAGTATAGTATAGTATGGATTTGCATTCCGTATTTGGAGCAAACATATTATATAATAGCATGTATTATCCGCATTTAAAGCTAATGTATTATTAGCAGGGCTCGTGTTCTGTTATGAAACAGGAGACCTAATAGAGATATTTTTAATCAGAATTATTCACAAAACAATAACATGCATGAACATAGGAAAAAGCAGCTGGAATTTTGGAAACACAACCATGTCATTTTATGCACTATGCATTTCTAGTGTTTCTTGATAGTTTTAATCGTTTTAAATGTCAATTTTATTTATGTCGAGGTTCGCTATTTTACAGTTTACTCGAAACCTGTTTGACCTGTTGGATAGCGATGAAGATGGTGAAATTGATATCAGCGATCTCATGAGCAGCTTGGATCGGCTTGAATGGTAAATATCTTCTTTCTTCCGAAAAGGAAATGGCTTGGTAGCTTTTGGCAATTTTTTATTATTTCCATTCACATGAATGGGTTTAGTTTATTTAGTTTTTGACCAATTAATTTGTTAGCACTGTATTGTGTTTAATGTTTTTTTCTAAGAACTGCGATTAGGCATAAATTAATAATGAGGGCAGTGATCATGGAATCTAGAATATTTGGGAACATACAAACTTGTTCGACTACCAAAAAAATTTTCACAAATAAATCTAGTCCAAAAAACAAAATTGATCGAAAATTTAGCAACATCATTAGAGAGAAAACAATTGTATGCATGCAGGTTTATCTGCATTATTCTATATGCTGTCAGTTATACATGTGAAAGTCTGTAAGAACTTGAAATTGGTCCTGCTAAATGTTTCAGTATAACTTGTCCAGAAGCAATTAATATAATTGTGATATTAAGGTTGTCAAATATTCCAATGTTGAACAATGACTCTGATTTCCAATAGCGGTTATTTTTTATTCCAAACGCCGTTTAGACTGTTTTAACTGTGACGAAAAATAATTTTATTGCATTCAAGAGCGCATATTGTATTTTCTATGTTCTAATTAAGCTTTTGTACTGAATTGTATGTAGTGCATCAACGGACACAAAATGGTACTTATGGATTGAAGAAAGGTTTAATATTTCAATGACTGATGACCGTAAAATAACCTTTGAACATTTCAAGAATGCATTGCATCTCGACAAGGTCAGTAAACGCCTTTCTAAAAACATTTATTGCAGCCTAACTCATCAAAAAATGAGAATGAAATGTAAATTTTTACACTATACATGTAAATTTTCATAATGCACTCATAGTAATTCAAATTTATAAGCAAATTTGCTCAATTTTTTTAATAAAATAAATATTTACTAAAAGTGTTAGTGAATTCGGAACGATATGAAAAAATTGAGAAAATTTTACTCATGAGAGAGTGCGTTAATTTACTCCAGTTATTGAATCAAAGTACCAAGGGATTTTTGCAGTGTATAACTGACTCCTTCGCTCAGTCTACACCAAACTATACATAATTATGTATACCTCTATACATTCCATGCGCATTTACTCTTTCCTGTTCAGACATTCTTCGCTGAAAGATTTTTCACACTGTTTGATGATAACGGAGATGGAAAAATTGACATGAAAGAACTTATTACTGGCTTGGAACTCTTAACCAATGGAACTCAGGCTGATAAAATAACATTCCTGTTCAGAGTTTATGATTTAGATGGTATGTTAACAACTAACGATTCCCAGTAAGGGGCACACAATCAAATAATTTCTAGTTTCGATTTTTAATTGTGTCTATATATAAAAATATCTGATGGACACTGGAATTAAAGAGCTCCATATCTACTAATAGTAGGTGGGTTTTTTAGAAGAGGATTTTTCGAACACAAATTTTCATACATGTGTCCGCGATTCTAACATGTGTCCGCGATTCCTAACATGTGTCCGCGATTCCTGTGCAGAGCTCTTTGTCATGGTCAGAAATTAGAAGCCTTGTGATACTACACCTTTTAATGTCAGCGTTAACAAACCAATATTAGCTGTTTGCGGTCGCCCATTTTTCTAACTTGTCTTATTTTGTTCAAAAGGAAATGGTTATTTGAGCGGAGACGAAATGAGAACTGTTTTAAAATCTTGTATGGAGGAAAGCAAACTAAAGTTAGGCGATCAACAACTTGATGAACTGATGGACGTTTTCTTCGAGGAAATGGAAACAAACAACAAAGGGGAAATTGGCTTGGACCAATTCAAAGCTTTTCTGTCAGAATATCCTGGAGTCGCCGAAAATTTGTCAATAAGGTATCAAAAATTGTGTACGTTTTCCCCGAGCAAACCGATTCCGAGCTGTAGCCCGGAGTGAGTGTATTAATTCCGCTTTGCTATTTGTAAGTGCGACTATAATTAAAAGGAAATCGCGGCTAGCGGAGGGAAAGTTCGTCAATGATCGCGAGCGTGTGTCTACGATCCAAGGTTTTATGTAGCTAGGTGGACCTTCCACTAAACTCAAAAGTTGGTTTGTGTCAGGGGTTGGATTAGTAGCATTTGAAAAAAAGATCCATCAATTTGAAGGCCGAAAAGTCGCTAATGAGATCGACGAGCAGCAGAACACAGTTTATTTGTTCTTGCTTCACAACAAATGATTAGGTGGTATAAGCCTATAGGCCTATATTGCAGGAAATCGTAAAATACATAGCAAGTTTGTTTTAAATGTTAATACATCTGGGGTGAGGATACTAATTCCGCTCGGCTATTTGTACCCGGGAAAAGGAAAAGCATTAGGGAAGTCTAAAGTTCATCAGTTATCGCGGACTATGGTTCATGTGTCATGGGTGGACCTGCCAATGATCGCAAAAATATGGCTGTTTCGCTAGAGTGGAATAAGCAAGATTTCAATTTCAAAAACATAAAATCGTTTCATACCAGGAGTTTTGAAGCAATTTTGTTTAAAGAAATGAGAAAATTTGATTTATTATGGGCGATATGGGGCAAGTTAATTGTTTTGCAATGTTTAATGTTTATAAATTTTTTTGCTTTATTATTTTCCTAAAACATGCACTGCTTTCCTTTTCAATCATCATGAATCGAAACAGCAAGTTTCCTAATTTCCCTTTCAATTTAAGAAAAAATGTAAAGGAGATCAAATTAATTTGAAGACCCAACTGAAATTACTCAAAAATTTTGATCTTACTTTGTTTTATTAATTAATTAAGTTGTAGTGAGTGTAGTTTCATTAATTACTCTGCAGTCCAGTGCATTGGAGTACTTTGTCTGGTTCTAATTATTTTGTATACCAGGATTATGCTGTGTGCAAATTGAACCGGGTACTTGTTAGTATATCCATCCGCAATAAATCTAGTTGATTAGAGCAGGACGTTCTCGTCAAATAAAGGATAAATCTAGTTAGATTTGCTCCTCAACCGGCCAAATTGGGAAACCTAATTATTTGTAAATGAAAGTTAACGTGAGGTTTCATTTACATAGACCTAACAAGGAGTAGCTGCAAACAATGCAACTTATGCCCTGTGGCACGAATCGAACATGCAACTGAGTTACAGGCCAGTTGTCGAGCTCTATCTGCAAGTCCAAGTGCATGTATATTCTAAAGTGATGCCATGGTTATGTATAAAAAGGGTATCTCACTCGGTATCTCATGTTTGGGTATCTCACTCGATTCAACGAATTTTTAAGGATTTGAGATGAAAATTTCAAAATTTAATGTAAATTTTGTGTACATTTATTCATACCTAACCAGGATTACAGCAGGTCTGAAAATCCTTCAACATCAAGTTAATCGAGTGAGATGCCCAAATAATCCTGAAATTTACCCGTGTACTTTAGTAACTTTACCATTGCATCACCTTAGTATATATAATTGCACATGAAAGGTCCGTACAGACCAGACGCGATTTGGCAACGCGAATTTTCAATTTTCAATGACATTTAACTTTAGCAATTTTAGCTATTTGGTCTGCATACATGTATCTTGTAAAATGTTTATCCGTTGACGGTTTTATTTGTTTTTAAAAACTAAAAATTTTCGTCGCGCGTTGTCGAATCGCGTTCGGTCTGTATGGACCTGAACTTCGGATTAGAGCTCGACGATTGGACTCTGCAGCTCAGCTTGTTAGAGCTTTGCGCCAGAGACGCATGACAGGGCCGTAGTTGCATTTTTCGCAACTTCTGCTTGTTAGGTCTAAACAAATGTATAAAATTTCCACTCGAAATTTCCATGTACAAGGTCCTTCAACAAAAGAGATTGTAATATTTCATATTATATGTGTTGCTAATGTTTTGAAAGTCGTATAGTAATGTTTGTTGTTTTGTACTTCAATTTAGTGCTGCTCATTTGCTTAAACCTCCAGTTACTCGGTCGAAAACCATGTCAAGTTACATTCCAAGACGTCTTCGATGGGAATATATCAAGAAAAATCCAATCAAGGTGTTCTTCGTAACGCTTTACGTCTTGCTAAATGCCGCCCTATGTATTTGGGTTGGTATTGAGAGACGTCACCAAGGTGGATGGATTATATTGGCTAGGATTAATGGCATGTGTCTCAATTTCAACTCCATGTTTATTTTGGTGCTAATGATGAAAGGCCTTCTCACCTGGGTGAGATCAACAAGATTTGGAAAATTCTTCCCCATCGACCAGCACATTATTTTCCACAAATGTGTCGCCGGGGTCATCCTTTTCCAATCTGTTCTACATTTTATTGGCCATCTCGGCCGATACAGTAAGTACTCGTCATTCTCTTTGTTGTTTTAAGCTTCCAGTTATTTAAACAAAACTCTACTATGATTCTAAGGCTTTTATGTGATGTTTCATGTTTGGCAAACTTGCAAGTGATGACTCGACGGGATTTTATTGAAGTCCAAGCAGGTGGTTACAGGTCAAGGCGAAGCCGACGACAGGGGCTCGCTGCACTTCAAATTGTACCACTTAGTTCGAAGTCTGGGATTTAAAGTATAGCGAATTGATTTTGATCCATTCGTGGAAGATGATGAATATTCTTCACCCGTTATACAGTATCATCAGGGACAGTGGCGTTGTGGGTCCTATGTTTTTTTTTGTTTTGTTTTTATTTGGAGGGGGGGGGGGCAAGTGCAGTATTTTTCCGACAAACTCCAACCGGACGACAGCATTTTAATTTTTCTCCACCACCGCCTTAAAATTCAAATCAAATTTCCTAGCAGCTTGTTTACAAATTTGGAAATGATTCTTCAAAAATCTTGTCTGGATCGATAGGAGTTTTCTTCTTGGAAGTTTTGAAATAATCAGAAGTGCAGAAATGTATAAACTTAACAGCGGGTTAAATTTTAACCAACGGTTAGCACTAACCCACCTTTGAACATCTGGCCCCTGAAGTACAACTTCATAGGATTCTTCGTGTTCTCAAATTTTCCTAAGCTGTACACGTCATACACACGTGGTGACACTTGCTTGGAAGATGCCGGCGTATCATAATCAATTACCAAATGACGAATTATCACGCGAGCGACACTTTTAGGAAGATGGCGACCGTGGGACAACTTTTTCACTGAAGCTACAGATCTGTTCAAATTTAATCTGTAACTGCGCTACACTGCACACAGACAGTACACAGACAGCACACTGTAACACAGTATTATTTTATTTAATTAAATTCACTGTCAATATAATTAATAAAACATGCACATGCATGTAACTTTAATAAAGTTTATCGGTAACTATAATCCCTTATTTCAGCATCTAACTGAAACTTACTGTTACTAGTTCCAAAAAAGAAGTAACTTTTACACCAGTGACCGTACTAAATTAGTGTCATTAAGATTATATTGTTGTTAATTAGTTGTTCGTAAAAAGTTAAAAATAACTTTTGACAAATTTTGTGTGTTTATTTCTAGTTACAACTGATCCACCATCAGGTAAACCTAAGTTCGAAGTTTGGGAGTACATGTTTACGACGAGAACACCGGAAGGATGGGTGAACGGATCAGCTGGGATCACTGGAGTATTACTGTTGATTATTCTTGTTGTTATGTCCATCCTATCACAACCGTCTGTTAGAAAACGAGGTTTTTTTGAAGTAAGTGAAAAGCTGAATCTTTAGTTTTACATTAATCAAATCTTCAAACCCTAAATATTAGATGGGCAATTGCTAGTATACGCGGCTCAATTAAAGACATAATGTTCATGGAGTAAGGTGCTAAAACAATAATTAGAAAATGTCTACCAGGTTTTGGGGAATCATCAAGGTTTGGATATCTTTGGCTCTGTTGGAGCTTACCAATGAACGCTTTAAATGGTTTTGTATCTCCATAATTTTATATTATAGAAGTCAAGGACATACATCATGAGTTCGTCTGATGTTATGATTTAATGGGGTGAAAATATATAACCATAAATATTTACGTCTTGTTTTTGTTCATGGATTCTTTGCATAATACATTCCATCTTATGTACTATAATATGCGGAGATAATATTAATATTACGTCTTGTTTGATGATATCTTGGGTTTGAAGATATTTTTATTTTTCGGATTTTGTTCCATAATTTATTTCCTTAAATAGACTACTGGTCCTGCCTTTTGCATTTTAACATGCTGACTTAATTGTTTTTCATTTTTTAGCTTTTTTACTATACTCATCATTTATATATCGTATGGTGGGTGCTCCTTATTCTCCATGCTCCTAACTTTTGGAAATGGTTTATCGGACCAGCAGTTTTGTATTTTGCCGAGAGAATCTTGCGTCTTAGGATTGTTAACAGAGCTCGTTATGGAAAGACGATTATAGAAGAAGGCATAACATTACCATCTAAGGTACGCACCAATACTAGTTTAAGAAAACAAATCGATAGGCGCTGCATGAGAGTTTCAATGAGACCTTATTGTAACGGGTGGTAAAGTTGACGCGAATTGACTATTTTTCATTATTCGAAATATCAATCAGTGAGCATAAAAGTGCCGTTCCGTAACGTAGTTCGCGATGCATGCCTATTATAAATGTCTTATTTTCAATGCACCACCTTTTGATCGACGGTTTTGGGTTTTTGTGATTCCCTACGCTGAACTGATTAAGGGCATGTTCATATATTGAACCCATCAGCTACCTGGGAAATTCACCTGAGTGAGACCTACATGTCCGTTGTTAATTCATGTAAAATTTGATCTTTGATCATGTGAGAGATGAACCATCCTGGCGAAGGTGGTATCCCCGTCAAATAGGACAAATGTTTCCAAATGAAGGCTTCATCCCATCTGACCGAGCTAGACATTTAGTGACACTTGCAAACGTCATTGCATAAATAAACATTTATAGACCCATATTAAGCAGACATAATTAAAGTCGTAATACAAAGTGCAGTTTGTTTCTTTATAACAAAAATAGTTCGAGGAACACGCCTTGATACATATAATAAACACTTTTTCGCCAAATTAGAAGTGAATAGTGCAAGGAAATTCACAGAAACGCGAAGCGTTGTTTCAGCATATACCACAGCAAAAAAATGACTATAACAAAACAAATATTTAAAACTATAAATACATGCATGCATGAATCCTTCACCTATGCAGAGAATATCTCTGCACACTGTTTAACAAAGCTTTTTGCCTTTTTTTGCGTTAGCCGGAACGGTAGCTGCGTTATAGTATATATAAAATATTGCTCGTCTGTAACCGGAACGAAACGGGAATCCATTTTGTTCTTGTTTGGAGGTAAATAATCAAGGATATCCGGAGGTGAGCAACCAATCAAATTGCGCAAAAAGCACTATCCACCTCCCGAGTATATGCTAATATTTATTTTTCGTCGGTTTTTCGTAGGTAACACATTTAGTAATCAAGCGACCTCCGAATTTCCAATACAAACCCGGTGATTACGTGATAATCAATATACCGCAAATTGCAAAATACGAATGGCACCCATTTACGATTAGCAGCTCACCAGATTTGACAGGCTACGTTTGGCTTCATATTCGGGGAGTAGGAACATGGACGAAGAAATTGTATGACTTCTATGAAGAAAAAGAAGAGGAAGAGTGCAAACGAAAGTCTGTTAAACGAGCAACAATAAGACAGAGAAAGGCCAGGAGTATCAAAGACAAAGAGAGGTATTATAATTGCCATTGCATAGTGCTTGTGATGTTACTCTAAGTGTATATCCACACCGAGCAAGCTTGAAAAATATGTCTGGCCATGGTGGGAATCGAACCTACGACCTCTGGAAATACTAGCGCCTGAGTACATAACACCAACACAGAAAGAGTCATGATTACTGGATTGCATTGATATCGAAGGAACTAGACTCTATTCCGAACTATCACATACTCGAACCAACCTGACCACGTAACTCAGTTGGCAGAGTATTGGGCTAGTATTCCCAAAGGTCGTATAGGTTCGATTCCTACCGTAGCCAGGCATATTTTTCAAGCTTGCCCGGTGTGGATATACACTCAGAGCAACATCACAAGCATAATATTCACCTGAGTACATAACACCAACATAGAAAAAATGCCATTACATAGTCAAAAATTAGCTTGATCAAATATTACTGTAGCCAATTAGATTCATTGATATTTATAAGGGTTATTTTATTAACTTTTGTGCAGTCTGAAATCAATATCCACGCATGGTTGTGTATGAACGTCAAAACTCTGCAAGTTTCTGCTCAATCATGCTGGGCACTAATTTTTTCCTGGAAACCAAAACCACTAGCTCAAAGCCACAAAGCTTGCTTTTTCCCTTGGCAGTAATGTGTATATATAGTATTATTATAATCTACGACCTTGGCAATTACAACGCGCGCTTGCTCTTTTCCTTACAACAACTCAGGCAAACACAGCGGTCAATTCGACAACGTTATGCGTCGAGTGTCAAGCGACATAGATTGGGTGTTATCGTTGAAGAAGAGGACGAAGAACCACAAGAAGATATTAATACAAATGAGGCTGTCGACGCTTTGTCAGAAGTCGTCATCGAAAACAAGCCGACCGTTGCAAAAGAAAGAAAAAAGGCCGCTCTTGGTAAGAGTGTCAATGTAGAAATGCAATCGCCTGAAGAATACGGAAGACTTCGATCACTGGACAGAAACGCGGCCAACAAACTCGAGGTAAGTTGTATATGTAACATTGCTGAAATTATAGTGTGTACCAAATCTAAAATTTCAAAGGTTTTCTAGCCTGTATATTATGAATGTATATGGCTTTCATAAATATAAACTAGAAAATGCATGCAACGACCCCTCGGCTGTCTTAGCAGATGAAGTATAAAAACTCCACATAAAGTCAACTGATGCATGCGCTAGCTTAATGAACGATAACATTCGCTGCAATATCATGTTTTGGTGCTAAGAATAGATTAAAAATTTCGCAGATATCAATAAAATCGACAATACAAAGCGAGTATGGAATGGAATTTTACTGCTGAAATGTTTACACTTATCCAAACCGGCACAACAACGATTAAAGTATTAAAAACAGCATGCAACATTATTAAAATTATTGTCAATTATTACAAACGTTGTTTCACGATTGAATAGCCATTAATTCATAAAACTGCTACCCTGCTGGCAGTGGTTTCTGAGCTGAAGAGAAATCACTGCGAGAAAACGAACGATCGTTCGGTTTCATGTAGCCGCCGTCCAGATTCACGGAAGAATACATTAAATTCTCAACCGGTAAAACAAGTTTGACAAGTTTTCGTGTTGTGCGCATGGGTAAATGCTTGCCACTGCTGGCAAAATGCGAGTCAGTTGTACACTTGAAAAACAATATCACGCTCTAAATATAGTAACACGCTATAAATATACTACAAAATATTGTAAAGACAAAATATTGAATAAAATGTGAGAAATTATACATTAAGACTAGGAGTTACTATCGCAAGGAAAATGCTGCCGATATGTACATGTAGGATGTGCTACTAAAAGAGCGTTTTTCACTGTATGTATGATTTATTGTCTTACACATCGTCGTTCCTCAGTTACCTTCGTACAATTATATCTTACATCTAATCTTATGAAAAGTATATTTTAATATACTTAACAGTGCGACTTTGATAGTTGACACATAATACAAATGATAAAATGTTAATATTATTGAATGATTTTGTCACTCGTACAACTTTTAATTTGGCTATTCAAACAATTGATTTAAAATAGTTGAATTTATACTTACTGGGATGTTATTGCTTATTGGGATGTTGAAATTATGTTTGTTTTAAATACATTTAATTGATATTCCATAAATTCATTTTGTATGATTTCATTGACCTTGACATTGTTCAAAATCATTTTGTATTGTATTGAAACTGTATGTTTATGACCTATGTTATGTACTATATTAACCCATTGAGTCGCATTGCACCCTGATGCACCCTACTTTGAACAGTATTTTACTCTGTCTAACGCCAGACGATTTTACTCGTCAAGGGGAGAGTGCTGGCGCTTAATGGGTTAACTGATCTATCTGCCCATGTGTCTAGTTAACCCATTGGGTCGCATTGCACCCTGATGCACCTTACTTTGAACAGTATTTTACTCTGTCTAACGCCAGACGATTTTACTTGTCAAGGGGAGAGTGGTGGCGCTTAATGGGTTAACTGATCTATCTGCCCATGTGTCTAGTTAACCCATTGGGTCGCATTGCACCCTGATGCACCCTACTTTAGTATTTTACTCTGTCTAACGCCAGAGTATTTTACTCTGTCTAACGCCAGACGATTTTACTCGTCAAGGGGAGAGCGCTGGCGCTTAATGGGTTAACACGCCCAAAATCTGTACTAAAACTGCTAATTCTGTTTTGTGATTGGCACAGTTTAATCAAAGAATCCTCCCGTTGAACCAGAGCCTTCACGATATTTCAATTTATTATTAACTGAAGGCTCTGGAATCCAGGATAGCTTGCCATTGAATACAGTGCAATGCTTATATTTCTGAATGAATAAGATCATACTCAGAACAGTCAGAACTGCAAAACTATATTGTTAGAAAGAAGTTGAAGTTGTGAGCATTATTGTGGTAACACAGCCATATGTATATATCAATGTATGTCAGTAGAATCATGTTTATAGGCTTTATATATAACTGAGGCCTTATACAAGTCATATCTTATACAAAAGTCAGTTGATATGCTATATTACATGTAATTGTTGATAAGTCCATATATGCAGACAACAATCCACACTGGGTAGCTCTAGGAATCTTGTTAAGCCTGATTTAACAACATCCCGCGTTTGTTTTTAAACTATAAACATTTAGAAATAGAACGTACCGAACACTATTATATACTCACCGCCTTTGGCTTTGCACATATTAAGTGACATAACAAACAAATAAACTAAAAGTTCATTTGCTTCTTGTATCAGCATAAAGGCATTAATCATTACTGTCGATTTGGTCGGGAATAGATCAGTGATTCAGTGGGTATTATAATTGCCGATATATTCTTGAAATCATTTTGTTTCAATGCCTCTATATCGAAGTTTAATACACTAAAGTGACTAAACAAGTATAAACAGCAGATTTAAATATAAATGCCTTCATGTATTATAAAATATATCACCAGACAGGTAGACAGGGCACACGGCACGACTGCATCACAAAACGAGAACGAAATAAAGCCATCCTTACCTGAATTATTCAAAATATTGTCGATCATTCTTGCGCCAGAGACACAAAATAACACCGTGCTTTATTTACCCATTCATCTTCACAAATATTACTCGGAATTTTTATGGAAATTCGCATTATTTTATGATTTTTATATTTCTGTCCGTTTATAACAGTCGCCATGTTGTGAACAAACCCCCCCGGGAACAAAAAAATAATATCAAAACAGCTAGTTTTGGCCCGTCCGTGACTTGAAATGACTTGAAAACCGCCTAGCGTTCAACAGAATAACTATACACTGCAACAAAAATCAACCTATTACAGAAATCAGTAGCGGCGTCGCGACGATCTTTGTCCTTTGATCGGTTGAAATTTGTAGTGGTTGAGGTCGCGACGATCAAAAATTGCAATAATTGTCAAAATCAACAGTAATTGGAAACGTTATTATATTACTTGGAAACTTTAGGAACTGGAATTTAACGAAAACTTTAACACAATCTCCAACGTTTAAGCAACACGAATAAAGTTCGTAGACCGAATTAAAAAAATTGATATTGATCGGATAAATACAAAATTTTAAAGATATATAACAAAAATTCAAATGCACAATTTGTAGCCGTAGGGCGAGGCACCGATTTCAAAATATTTTAGTACTGGCAATAACGAGATTAAAACAAATGCATAAATTGTGAACTGCGTGTAGAATAAAAAAGTCGTTCGATTAAAACTGACAGACAACAAATAAAACCTCTGAAATAAAACTACTATGCCACGCTTGTTTACAGATAACAAACTACAGGAAATGAAGTCAAATTAGCGACTTCCCATCACGTGATCTTCGCGCATGCTCGATAGAAAGTCGTTCGTTTGCTCGCAGTGGTTTCTCCTCAGCTCAGAAACCACTGCCAGCAGGGTATAAAACTGCAGGTTTATTTCCAGTTATGATCGGAAAACGTTTTGTACCTTTGTAGACTTTTTTACGAAATTTAAGACAAAAAATTGCATTAAAACAGCAAAATACGTCCTTTCAAAATGAAAAACAATTATTTAGCCAGAGCTTGTACTCACGCATGCGCACAACGTCGAAAACCGTCCATGACATAAACAAAGTGGAGGACAACTTTGACCTTCGCTATCGGTTTTCACATACCCGGGTTTAATTGGCCGTGCGGAATTAGTACCCTCGCCCCGGGCTTACGCCCGGAACGGAGCTCGCCCCGTTGGCTCGGGGAATATGACACGTACAGATGTATCGTCATGTTGTAAACAATATAAACACTTTATAGCCCATTACATGCGTAAACCGTTAGAAATCCTGCCATGGGCGTACCGGAAGGAAAAATTTAGGGGGCGGAAATAAAATTGTACTAGTACCGAAAAATTTTTTCCGGAAAAATTATTTTGGCGACCCCCCCCCCGTCGCCAAATAAAATGTCGGTCAGTGTGCCATTTTAGGGGTGAAAAAAATTTTCCGGACAACCAAAATTTTTCGGAACATAAGACAAATTTTCCAAAAAACACAAAATTGGCCACAAAATTTACTTAATTTTAGACAAAATTTACAGAATTTGTCCCATTTTTTTTTATTGCAACCAAAATTGCCCGACTGTTGATCGAATATTGCGCGACTGCCCAACAGACTGCCCCTCCCCCGCCCAGTACGCCTATGAATCCTGCAAAACGTCTTGAGGCACTGTTGCGAAACATCTGAAAATTGTAAGTTTCGAAAATTCCTTCTGTTTGAACTGCTATTAGGCTGCTATTTAGACTGTTATTAGGGCTTTTTCTTGTGCACTATTTCGCTGTTTCATCTGCTTTCAGGTACCAACTTTACTGCCAGTCTTACAGCTCATAATTGAGAGTTTAAGTTCGACTTCCGATACCAATACCGATACTAACAACATGCCGTACGCATGCGCTCTGCTCGCAAGAAGCACAAAGACAAGTGTATTGGAAGTCACCACTACGGAAGTCGGCCTTGTTTTGGAAGTCGTGGGAATTGTAAGATAAACTCATATAAATCGGATATTTCATATTTTTTACGATAAACACGTAAACTATTTGTTTATTAGCATCGCCTGAATAATCTTTTAGTCGGAATTTTGGCTCAGCTGCCGTTCAGTATACCGCACATTTTCGGTGACGATTAATGTGTTCTATACTTTATCTGTCGTGATAACTTAACGCTTTAAAATTCCCGGTACCAAAATGAGAACGGAAGTGAAGACATCGGTATCGGAAGTCGAACTTAAACTCTCTATTATTACGCGCTGAAGACGTAACACTTTTCGTTACATAACCATGAGCGAACTAGGAAATGTGGTCCCAGAAGCTTGATTCATATCTAATGTAAATTTTGTTAATTGGAAAAATCAGGATTCATTAATGTTTCTCAACAAAAATCACTCTTAGTAAATAGAATACATAAAATAAAATGATACAGTCAATATAACTATACTAGGCAATATTTTCGCTTCGCTACGGCCGGTTGTTGAACGCACGACAAGCGCTTACCATGGGTATATACTAAAACTGTCTGTACCAGTGTTGGTAGTACCAATGTGAAATTGCTGTTCTGAGTGGTTATATATTACAACGTGAAATAAACAAGCAGAAACTTTCGAGCGTTTCGAGCGAAGGCCGTTTTTACGAAAAGTCGAGTTTCTGCTTGTTTATTTCAGTTTTACGTCGAGATTCTGCTTGTTTCTGCTTGCTTATTTCTAACTCTTGACGAGGGGCCTTCGCTCGAAACCTCGAGTTTCTACTCGTTTATTGAAGGTAGTAATATAACCACTCAGCACAGCTTACATGGGTGTGTATATAGCCTTACAAATTGACACATTGTTTTTGTTTTGGTACATTCGTTCGCTCGACTATTTCAAAACTATATAGAAAAGGAAACATCTGTCGATCCAGACACGCTTTATAAAAAACATATCATCTCCAGGTGTACAAACAACTATTGGGACGATTGCTTTCACGATTTTCATTAACCATGCAGATCAAACTAACCAGTTTTCGAACAATTAGGTAAACAAGAAAACATGCGGGTAAACATCAGAATTTCGAGTGCTGTTGCAATATTTCCTAACATGCCCGTAACTTAATACATTTAACTCATCTGTTTAGTTGTGTAAATTACCTTCTATTTAGATTTACATTGATGGTCCATACGGAGCTCCTGCTACACATTTCACCGAAGCAGAGCATGCTGTACTCATATCAAGTGGGATTGGTGTGACACCTTTTGCATCTATTCTTCAAACTATCATGCTTCGATACAAGAACGCCTCGCACTCTTGCCCAAACTGTGATTACTGTTGGGTTGGTGACGTTCCTTATTCTTTGAGAAAACTGCAAAAGGTTGGTAAATTATATACGAAATACCCTTGATTCCAGGTATTGCTTGATGCTCACGAGAAAATATTCTAGAAGGTTGATTCGCACAATAGAATCAGGATTAGAATCGTATTCTATCAAGATATGATGATCGGAAAGTAAACAGAACTGATTGTGTTATGTTTTTTGTGAGTTTCTGTTTGCGTTAATTTTCGGGCGGTCACCGTGATTGAGGAACTCTGACGTGAAACATGTAACAACGATCAATAGTATTTCATGATGTTGATATAGTGGATTGATGCACGGTGAGATACAGTTCAACATCAAAACAAATGTCTTGATTGTCGGGCTTCCAGACCATCATATCTTGACAGACTATGTTAGAATCCGTTATCATAGTTAAATAAATTCTTATAAATAAAATCATATGCAAATTGAGGTACTGACTTTCACCAGGAATTAGTTTGTGATATTAAAAGTGATTGTTGGAAATCATATCATGGTTATCACCCACTAGTGCTATTCGGCTACGCTTTGCATGTACAACATGTAATGTTCGACTAATACGACAAAAGAATGAGCTTCACTTTGTTTCTTTAAACTTCAGCTATTTACAGCCAACTATAATGTGATTGATTATATAGGTCGACTTCTTTTGGATAAATCGTGACCAGCATTCATTTGAGTGGTTTTTGAGTCTCCTGAACCAGCTTGAGGTCGAGCAATCTGAGAGTGAAGGAGTATTTAACGACCATTTTCTCGACATGCATATTTACATGACATCGGCTTTGAGGAAAGAAGATATGAAAGCCCTTGGATTACAACTGGCGCTCGAACTTATTCACAGCAAGAAGGAGAAAGATTTGATAACCGGTTTGAAGACAAGGACAAATCCTGGTAGACCAGATTGGGACAAGGTGAGATAACAATCAAAATTCAGTGAGGAAATATGAGAGGGGTTAATAAAATACTAATTGGGATTCATTTGTTACTGGAACAAAATTATTCTCAAGTACGCATTAAAATGAAAAAGTAAAATTTTGATGTATGTGTATCGATTATTGAAGATCCATGCCATGAACGTAGGGCCTACTTATATTTTGGCATCAATAATTTAATAATTATATTCAATAATTTAACAATATAAATTTTGGTATGTGTAATACTTGGGTCATTCAAAGACGAATGTAATATATCTTTACAGTAAGAAACCAGATCTTGATCAACTTTTTCACTGTCAAAGTTTCCGGATATGATGCCATCAAGTGAATTTTTGATACAATAAACAAAAGAAAACTAATTTGCAATTCATCTGATCACATCATATCCGCAAACTTTGACAGTGAAAATGTCGATCAATTTTTTATTGTAAAGATATATTAAATTTATTCGAAATCATAGAAATCATATTAAATTTTGTGGTTAGTCGCAATTTAAACGGCTGGCAATCAAGGTCGTATTTTGTGTACAGAAAAATAATTAGATCGATTAAAATCCAAGCATGAGGCTCCCAGCGCTACTCATTATATGCATTCAGAATGCATTCCGACATGTAAAATCAAGAAGCTAAAGCGAAAATATAGCCACAAGACAATAACTTTCAGTGCACAAGGTTTCAAAATCATCTGCAGCAAGTGCTGCGACGAAAGTTGTCAATGTTGAGAGCAGTTTCAAGGTGTGCTTGGTTGCTTTACGATCAAAGATCAAAAGTACTATTGCAAGAAGTTATCGGGCGCATAAAAATGAATATGTCAAGTTCATCAAAGGGCTTGTTACGAGTATATTGTATATACTTTCATTAAACATTTTATTTAGATAATTGGTGAATGAAAATAAACAACGCGCACGTGCAGATTCTAAGATTATTTTAACATTTCAAAGAGAATAAGGCCCGGTTTAGACGCCGTGCTTTTCATGAGCCGAACTTAATTCATATTTTACTCGAGTAAAATAGGCGTACTTTCAATTTTGGTTTAGACAGGCGTGCTTTTCATGAGCCGTACTTAATAATTTGCGCTGCTTCACTCGAAACCTGGGGCGAGTGACAATTCATAATAAGAAAAGGGTTTATCACATACAATCTTGGCATTTCTGAGCGTCTACAGGTTTGTGGTTATTAAAAATTTCAATTGCTTTTTGAAAAGCCTTATTACTACAAACATAGCATAATGCCTGGATATAATGTGTGGGAAAACGAGACCTATACAGGCCTAGGGCGAGTTTTTCCACGTTATTCGAGTTCTCCCAAACTACTACAAGTGTTTCTATAACTGTATGGGTCATATATAATAAATGCTTTTATATTTATTTCTTAATATAACTAAAAAAAGATTTGTAGTAGACTCGATATATTTACAAATTCTCATTGCGTAATAATGCCGACCTTTGCTCCATCAATTTACTGCAAGAAACCCTTTTTGCCTTTATCAGCAAATAAGTTGTATCCTTTGCTACAAATTGACGTATATAAAGAAAAGAAAGGGAAATTCTACCGCGATATTTGCCGATAAAGCGGTATTAAATCACTACAGAAAAAATAGAACAAATTACAGAAATACAAAACAAGCCAGAAGCGGAAGTGGGAAGGTTTTTGTATTTTGACTGTATTAAACAATTCTTAATTGTTTTGTTTACGATTGTAAGTTTAGGCGGGAAATTTCCCGCGTAGAAACACGCTTCTCGACCAATCAACGCACGCGTACTATAAATGTTCTATATTATCATAATTTATGCATTTGGTACGGCTCATGTAAAGCACGGCAGTATAAATCAACATGTGCTTCAGCCGTGTAGCACGCCTGAACCAGGCGAACTTATTAATTTAGCCGTGCTTAATATTAAGTGCAGTGCTTAATTGATTTAGACGCCGTGCTTCTCATGTGCTTAATTCATTGTATTAAGTTCGGCTCATGAAAAGCACGGCGTCTAAACCGGGCCTAATATATAAATAAACCACGTCCATTTTAACGAAGAATTAAAGAATTTCCGTTTATATCATGGAAAATAATAAAAAAAATTGGATTTGCTTAATTTAATTCAATTCAATTCAATTCAATTCAATTCACGAAGAAAACACCGCTCTTCAACATCGAAAAAACTTGATGAGTAATGATTTTTCCGGTTGCGTTATACGTTCTCTTCGGCCCCCACCCCTGCCATAAATAATGACCGGTCCCTAATGTTGATAAAAGGTCGACAACTGTTGACATAACATAAGTATGTACATATCCACTTTAAACTAAAAAAAGAGAAACAAGCAAGATGTTATATGTAGTAAAGTAAAATTTGCTTTAGTTAGGTATAAGCAGATTCTCATTCGAAAAGCTGTTCAAATATATTGCGGGCGCATATTTTGAATTTACGGGCATGCAACCAAATTGGAGACAATTTCCTATCCCAAAAAATCTAGTCTTTATTTTTACAGTTGGAATTTAATCGTTCTTTAAATTACTTCACACATGGAGTTAAATCAAATTTGATTGAAGAATGAAGCTGGAGGAAAAACATAGATATTCCTGCTACATTTTTCTTTCAACCAAATTTATCAACATTGTTGATAGCGCTACCATGGCAACACTCCATGCAAGACCCAATAAACAACAATCAGTAATAATTATTGCAGTTCTTGTAGGACACTTTTAAATTCCTATAGTACTAAATCGTTGGTAAAACGTTGATGCCATCATTAAATCTCTCTGTCATTTATCATTATTTGTAGGTATTCAGTGAGCTGCAGCAGCAGAACCATGGCAAAATCTCCGTGTTTTATTGCGGAAATCCAGCTCTTGGGAACACGTTAAAAGCATATTGTCAGAAATTTGGCTTTGGATTTAGGCAAGAAAACTTTTAAGATGTCGAACATTTATCCCTATAACTCTAAACATAAAAGCATGCTTAATATCTATATTCTTTTTAAAATTGAGCCTATTTTGTAGATCTATATCCTAGACTTTGTATCCATTCTCAATTTTTATCCCATATTTTGATATTTGCATTTTTATAAGTATACATTCTACAATAAATACACAAACTGTTGGTCAATAAGTTTGAACAACAAAATTCAAAACTCAAGTTGGCATTTATATTTCAAATTTAACTTAATCTTAGTCAGTGATCATTTTCTACACAGCATTGAGGCTCATCTACATGATACAACTATAGTCATATACGATTTTATCCTGGCGTATGTACTGGAATAAATGCGTGTAGAGATATTTCGAGCGAGAACTTCAGTCCAAAAAGTGAAACCAGTAATGGTGGAAATAGAAGAGATATTGGACGTCATCCCAGTCCCTTTCTATTGTTTTTGTCTCCGCGGTCAGACACGAAGCTGCCACGAATGTGCCGAAATTCCGTACTTTGATTTCGATTTAAAGACTAATTTTATGATTCTATGAAACTAAAAAGTGGTTAGCGTTACGGTCGGTTAGGAAAAAAACTGGAATTGGCTGGGGAAAATGGTACAAAATCTGTTTACGACCTTCATAGCTGTTGGACGTAGGTATTCGCAAATTATTGTTTCCAAGTCGGCAAAACATGAAAAAAACATTTGAGGAAAAGCTAATAATAATCGGGCTAGCCCCGCTCCTGTTTATACTTGTACTGGTTCATTGGTTTTAACTACAAATTTTATTGGCTTAGGTTTTGTGGGAGATAACTTAGAGAGTTATCCAGTATTTAATGAAGTTAGAATAGTTTAGTATTTCCTTACACTGGACCTGAGCAACAACATATTTATTGCACCATTAGTAGTAAATATAAAGTACATATGTAAAGTCGAAACGACGAAAAACAGTCATTACTCGCTGACAAACGGAGGTGAAATTCCAAAACCAAGTGATATATCACGAATGCTGAAATGAATAAGTAGATTTTGCAAGGAATGCAGTGGAGGAGAAAAGACAAATACAAGATCCAAATAAATAACGTCTGGCATAAATAAATTGAATCTAGTTTAGATTTCGTCCTGTAGTTACAATAGACCACTGTAGACCTCTGTGACAAAATACATGCTCTATACACATTGGTTACTGTACGTATATCATGGATAGCTACAATCCTGGTCAACACCATCTGCGACACTGTCAAAACATTCGTTTGAGGCTTTTTCTACTATTAGACAGGAATAATTTACTCGTTTGCCTTCTTCCCCCCACCCCCTCCAAAAATTTGGGCGTTTTAATCGTATCCTTCGAATGCAATCAATATTGAATGGCAGGGGTAAGGGGGAGGTTTTTCTATAAAAACGCAATGGAATTCAACAGGCTGTCATGCATCATAAACATGGCTAAACAATTCAATTTTTACATAGGACGAAATAACAGATTTTTGGTTTTTCATTGATACTCTTTTTAAATCGTAACGATAAGAAATCGCCACATACTCGTCAAGTAAAACTTGCTGGTCGAAATCACATTCTTCCACCGTTGGGAATTGCATGAAAACGAAACATAGACAATTCCCAAAAGAGAATTAAAATTGAATGTTAAATTATCTAAAAAGAGCTCAACTCGTCCATCTTCGTCTTAGTGAGACAATAAGAACGTCATAAATTAAACATGGTTCAATTAACAAAACAAATAGCTTGCAGCAGACTCACGTTGCTTTTGGATTGATTAACTTTGCATAATTAGTGTATTTTTAATTCCCAACAATGCAGTAGAAGAATGTGTTTTCGAGCGGCAATTTGTATTTGACGAGTATGTGGTCATCTTTTAATTTTTTTTTATTAACTTTACAATCATATTATATAATAAATACACATACAGCTATATGATTGAAGAATTGGACAACAGAACTAGAATCCCATACTAAGTCCATCCATCTAACACTAAAACACAACATATTACGGACTACAAACTGGACAACGTAAATAATGATTTTACAGGCCTTTATACTATATAAAACATGCAAGAATGAATACATAACTGCACTACTGTGAAATTATTTGTGAGGTTCAGTTTTGACCCTCACCACCACCAGCACCACTAGTTAGAAACCACGAACCACTTACGTACATGTAAACCAGGTCAGCGCGAGGTAGTGATAGCGGTAATGGAAGTCAAAAGTGACTCCAGCCATTTTACACCAGACTTTAGTCCTAACAACACGTATTTTACAATATAAACATGCAAGAATAAACACTACACTATCAAAATTCAGGTTCATATTTGACCACCACCACCATCATCACTAGTTGGAACCACTAACCACTTACATGCAAACTAGGTCAGCGCGAGGTGGTGATGATGGTAGTGGAAGTCAAACCCAAAAAACCTCGCTATTTAACACCAAACCAGCTGCGAACAGCAGGTGATATTACTCTAACGACATTTCATGTAAATAGTTTTCCATGTCCTTGGACGCTCAACATCAAAGTCCGAGTTTAGTTTATTAAGATAATGAGTATATAGTTTGGATTTGAATATAGCGCAAGAGTTCGATGACGTGATATGACTAGGCAGATTATTCCATAGTAGTATTATTCTGTTGAAGTAGGATGATCTGAAGGTTGAGGATTTACAAAGGTTAGGTCAGCGTAGGTCGGGTGAACTGAAACGAGTAGTGTAAAGGGAAGGTTGAGTGGAATATTGCTCTATATCTACTTCGTAGCCACCAGATTTGCATTTATAGTAAAATGTCAGATCTTTAATTTCAAACCAGTAGGAGATTGGCAGTAAATTTAAACTTTTCAATCTGGGAGAGTACGAGGAATGGTAGTCTTGCGTGATGAACTTTGTTGCCGGTCTTTGAATGCCTTCTATTAGAACGAGGTCTCGCGATGATCCTTGGGTGACCAAATCTCACTGCCGTGAGACAGGTGAGATCTTACTAAGGGAGTGGTCATTATTTATGGGGAGGGGGTTGGGAAATGGGAAAAATAAGGATTGAAAACTTTTTTGACTCCTCCCTCCTCCAGACTGAAGGCAAACTTTTTGTGCCTCCCCCCCTCATAAAAGTAGAAACTTTTCTGCCACCCTCCCAGTGTGAATTGAAAAATTAACAGCAATGAAACAGGTGTACGTTGCAGGTAAAGTTAGATATTAGGATAATCTGTTTAATCTAGCTCATGATGTTTTACCCTGCTGAATATGACTCAACCATATATGAATAAGTAAGTATGTGTTACTACTTTGCAATGCAACATTTGTCGTACCATAACCCTAACCCATGACCCGTCTTCATACAGCGAAATGATTTGAACACAGGGTTTTTTTAAGAACTTGTTTGGGGGGTGGTCATCTTCAAAAAGGGACCATACTATATTGAGTGTGGAGAGATGACAGATGGTTGTTGATGACAAAAGGTTTGGTGTGGTTTCGTATGGACTAGTAGGGGGTCTGGGGGTATTCTCCCCCAGAACATTTTTTGTATTTTCCACCCCTAGAACTGAAATGTGAGCATTTTCTGAAACAGATTTTTGGATATACAGCGTTACATAAGTGCGTTGACAGACCGAATCTGATCAGTTAAGTGTACTTGCATGGTATGTTTATGTAAATACCACAACTGGGTCACTCAGGGGGTAGAAAGCTTGTTAAACCTAGTGGGCCCGACTCCCACGATCGCGAGGCGCTACCATGGTTGGCGCCGAGCAGGGAAATTTTGAAAATTTTGAGTCTCTAGATCGTTGGAGATAGCATTTCAGAGTCTTCTTTTTTGCTATTTGTGATTATAGAAATCAGAACTCTAGACACGGTATTTAAGTTCAAAAACTTTTATGACCCCCCTTTCTCTGTGTTAAAACTTTTTTGAGCCCCCCCCCTATTTATAAGGGTAAAACTTCGTTTGCTCCCCCGCCCTCCCATTTCCCCAACCCCCCTCCCCATAAATAATGACCACTCCCTAATGTCAGATATAGCAGGCGACGGCAGTGGATGTTGGTGAGCTACGTACAATGGCGTCATAAGAATCCCAGCATTCGATTGGCTTTAGCAACCACATGAGCAATCTGATTTGACCACTTTAAGTCATCACTGATGAATATCCCGAGGTCTTTTTTTGATATTTACACTCTTTATTTCTTCATTAGCAAGGTGGTAATTGGCTGGCATAACATTTTTCTTCCGTGTAAGCCGCATCACGCTGCATTTCTGTCCGTTAAAACTAAGTTCCCATTTGACAGACCATTCTTGAAGTGAGTTAATATCGCGTTGGAGCAATTGTTCGTCATCAGTCGAGGTAATTTGTCTCTGAGCACTTAATGTCGTCGGCAAACTTCGCTGTCTTGCTGTGAGTGGTTTCGTTCGGTATTTCGTTTACATAGATGATAAACAACAGTGGGTCAACTACACTACCTTGCGGGGCGCCTGAAGTTACTTCGAGAAATGATGATGACACGCCATCGATCACAACATGTTGTTTCCTTGAGCTAAGGTAGTCACAAAACCAGTTGAGCAAAGAGCCAGATATACCGTGATCTCGAAGTTTCTGAATAAGATTTGGATGGGAGACTGAATCGAAAACTTTCGGGAAATCTAAGTAAACGACATCGGTTGTCTTTCCGGAATCCAGGTTCTTACCAATATCTTGAAGTACTTCCAGTAATTTGGTTATGCAGGATCTGTTTGGACGGAAACCGTGTTGAAGATCGTGGAGCGATGGTTCTCATCTTTACGATTTAAAAAATGTATCATAGGAATCAAAGGCGTCCGAGCGGCTGTAAAAGTGGGGAGGCACACTTAGAGCCCGCCGAAGGCAGGTGACTTTAAGGGGGGTCCAGGGGCATGACCGCCGGAAAAATTTCAAAACTAGAGTTTCTGAAATGTCATTCCCTGCACTTTAGAAGGAGATACAGAGTTCAAAAGGTAACAAAATGTCATTAAATATCTCAACTTGTTTTGTCTACACACGCAACTGAAATAATATCAATTAAAACTTTGAGGTTTATTATTGACCATTGTTAAAAGACACTTATAGGCCCCGGATAGGAATGCTAAATAACAGCTCTTTCGTCCTATGTAAAATTTGAATTGTTTAGCTAAGTTTATGATGCACGATTGAATTACCATTGTGTTTTCTTTGAGACACCCTGTATATTATTGCGATAACATTACGCAATTTAGTCAAATAGTTGGAAGTGTCGCCAATGTTTTGCCCAGGATTGTAGTAGCTCTTTCGGTTTACTAAACTGCTTTTCTCACGAATAGTGCATTGTTTGGGGTTACGACAGCATGCAGATAACTCTGTAGTTACACTGGATAGCTCTATCAGTCGTCTAAATGTTCTTTTTGGAAGTCGTCGG